GTGTAGCAAAGCATGTGGTGTCGTGTGCATTCAAGTCCCTGCACAGGGCAGAGCACACCATGTCTGACAGACTGTGCTCCAAATCTGTCCAAATTCAGCCAACTCAGTCTTCCAACTTCGCACACTTTGGAGAACACAGACTGACAGATGCCCCTTGGTGGCAGATCCATACACTAGTGCTTTTTTTCCCCACAGGTCTCTGCAGGTGAGCTCACAAGGCAAGCAGTGGCAGCTATGAAAACAAACAAGAGATTCCTACGAGATTTCTACAGATGTTGCTGGGTCACTGCCACGCATCCTGTTTGCAACACAGTGCTCAGAACAGATCAGACAACGGGGAAGCACAGAACTGACTTTCCTAACCTCAGTTTCTCCTTATTGCAAATTCCTATTTTTTTCTTGCCTACATGGAAAAGGTCAAAAAAGCAAAAGATCTAAGACTTTACTCTAGTACATGGATATTTCTAGCACTTGAGATTGCAGATACTATTTAACATCAATAGTGCTGCCTGCTAGCTATTCCTAGTCATGAGAAAACACTGTTAGGAAAACTTAAGTATAATAATTTAAGAACATTGATAGGTGTACCTTCCATCATTGCATATGAAAAGAGAAGGATCCACAGGGCATGCAGCACAGGGAATCTTGCCATCATTTTCACTCTCTGGGCTCAGAACGGTGAGCTGTGCTGAGATTCTGTAACAAGATGACAATGTTATAAGCTTACATCAGTCCCAATTAAAGTAAGGGCACAGCTCTTCTCTGCTGCTTTGCTAGATATTAGGATTCGTATCCCTGCAATGCCCAATCCCCCCAGAAATCTGCTCTGTGAGAACTGCAGGGGAATAAAGCTAATACAAATGTGCAGAAAGCACAAGGAAACCCCGCAGTGGCATAACCTTTTAAAGTAATTAGCTGAGATATTATTTAACGACCTTTCGGAAGCACGCATGTGAATGCCATATACATCTAAGAGCACAGAGCCCAAGGCATGCTACCAAAGCCATATTCCCTCAAATAACTCATCTCAAAAACTGGGAGGATTCCAAAGTGCAGCTGCTTTCTGCTTGCTGTCAGCCAGAATAAATACGGGGAGGCAATACCAACAAAACACTGATTTCTTCAACATATTTAACAGTACAAGTACTTGTATAGTGAATCACTGCTTTGGTATGCGAGTCAGCCCTGGGATAACCAGCTCATAGCCCAAGTGGCAGCACTGATCAGAAGAGGTGCTGTGCTTCTATTCCCACATGTATAATTGATCGATCTTTAATAGAAGCTTCTGAAGCTTTCGTTCTTACAGGTTCAGAGATAAGAACACTGAGTGAAAACAGAACATCAGAATGGAAACTGTTTTGAGATCTTATCGGCAGCAACTACTGCTCATCCAGTAAAACACAGCCAGCTTCAAAAGTAAGTTTCCCATAAATACTCAAGAAAGCTATTACTCAAGAGCAGATCTTTTCACATTTGGGAACAGAAAATGTGACTGAGTACAGCAATAACATTTTGGAAGGGAACACAAATGGTTTTGCAGCTGCTTGGAAGAAGAAATAAAGAGCAGACGAATGCAGCACAAGACATTGTTCTCCTCCTCCTCCTGTCCTTTTCAGGAGAAGACATTTGCCTTCCAGTCCATCATTAAGTAATAAGAAACCCTTAAAACTCTGGCAAAGAATCCTGTATCACATAAGCATACACGAATCCACAGATGGCAGCAAAAAAAGTCCTTCCCTTGTAGGAAAAACACTCTGTGTATGTTGATAAAAATGGAATTAATCCACAGCTTTGATGAAATAGTAATGAAACAGACTATAAAGCCAACACAAAGGGAGAAAATTCAGAAGTGACCTTTCAACACCTGCTAGCTCTTAAGATTTTATGTCAGATAATGACACAAAAAGGTCAACCTTCATAAAATACATAACACGTACAGAGAATACCAAGTACACAGCAAACCTACTGATCTCAGTATATAAGAGGAAATAAGGTGGAAGAGATTTAAGTGACTTTCCCAAAAGCTATAAAAGATTTGCACTGGGGCTGGAAGCAGCTCCATCTGTTGGCTTCACTTCTGTGCTGGGATCAGCAGATCAAATCATCCCTGTGTACTGAAAGAGAAGGAAAAGAAAAAAAAGGAGAAAAAGATGTGATTGAAAAGACTTCATTTAATATGTAGAAAAGCAGTAATTTCGGCTGTAGGCCTTTAAGTAAATTAGGGTCATCTTTAATCCACAGCTGTAATTTGCAAAGCTTGCGCTCAAAGGGTGATGTGTGCACAAAAGACCAGCGATGGTCATTTCGAACTACAGCTGCTCAATTCACCTTTGCTGCTACTGGACAGAGCCACCCCCTATTTTAAATTTATTAAAGCAAAGCCTGTCATACTTCTCTTGGTTTAATATGCAGGTCATCACTGCTGCCAGCTTGAGATCAACGATACAAAGCAATGTTCATCACCTGATTTTGTATAAAAATGTGAAAAGAAAAGAAAGCTTGGAACCAAATCATATTTTCTACACGCCAATACAAAGCAGCAGAGCCACAGAAACATAATTCCAAACACCAGCTCTTGGACATGCAATGTGACCATCAAATGCAACATGCAGTGAGAAACGTGTGCTCCAGATGTTTGATTTAAGCTGGGGGTTCTGCGTTCCAATATATTTTCTTATCATATAATTGCTCAGGTTGGAAAAGACCTTCAAGATCATCAAGTCCAACTGCAACCAATGGGAAAGACAAAACCTCACAACCCAACCTGCAACCCAGAGTAGGAAGTTGAATGCAGTGGGTCAAATCCCTGCTCAGAGGGAAAGCACACAGTGGCTGGGCTTAACCCCATAGGTAAGTGACCCAGGAGCTGAGATGGATCTGGGGGAAAGGGTGTAATGGAGACAACAGAAGAAAACAAAGGGCAAAACAGTGCATTATTTATCACCTAAAACTAACACACAGTGCTTGGTTATAATTTGAAAAACTGCAAAATAAAGCCTGAAGCACCAAGACAGCTTTAGGGAACTTCCAGCTTAGAGCAGCAGAAACTGCAGAGAGTGCTGAGTACGGACACCTGAATGGAATGCCAAGGAGAGTCACAAAGTCATGGGGTTGGAAGGGACGTCTGGAGACCATCGAGCCCAACCCCTGCTAAAGCAGTTCCTACAGCAGGTCACACAGATGGACATCCAGGTGGGTCCTGAACATCTCCAGAGAAGGAGAATCCACCACCTCTCTGGGCTGCCTGTTCCAGTGCTCCGTCACTCTGACAGATGAGAAGTTCTTCCTTGTGTTAGTATGCAAATTCTCGTGTTCCAGTTTGTGCCCATTGCCCCGTGTTCTGTTGCTGCATACCACTGAAAAGAGTCCACTCCCACTGACTTGATTCCTGCACTTCAGGTGTTTATAAACAGTGATGAGATCCCCTGTCAGCCTTTTCTACCCCGGGCTGAACAGCCCCAGGTCTCCCCACCCTCCCTTCAGTACTGAAGATATTCCAGGCCCTCATCCTCCCCTGGTCCTCTGACAGCCTCTCTGCAGGAGATCCCTGCCTTTCTTCAAGTGGGAAGCCCAGAACTGGGCACAGTATCAGAACTGGAAGCAGAACGCAGCGCTACCCTTGTAATTTACAGCACAGTAAATCCAATTTTAAGCTCTAGGGAAGGAACTGAGAGAGGCTGTGAAGTTTCTGCCTTTTGGAGACCTCCAAAAGGGATGTAGGGCTGGGCTCTGGGCATTCTAGGACTCTGCTCTGGGCAGCTCTGATGAAGTGGGGTGCACCAGACAAACTCAGAGGTCCTGGCCAACCTCAACCATTCCGTGAGCGGAACCCACCTTTTCCAGCCAGCTTCCCGAGCAGCAGCAATGAAAACACCACTTGGCCACTGCGTGGGGGGAGGTAACCAACCCTTCCCCCCTCCTTGGCAAACAGGGAATCCACGCAGGCTGTCGGTGGGAGCTCAGCTCTCACACGTGTTTAGTTCCGTGGTGTCTTTTACACACGCGTCACTCAAACTCGCCCATGAAACCGAGCACGGCGGAAACTCATCATGGAACACAGCCAGGGAAACTCCAGCAGGAAAGGAACTGAGCCGCTCCCGGAGCCGCTCACCCCGGTCCATCGATTCTGCCAGCCGGTTTTAAGACTATCGTAAATTAGCCTTAAGCTCTCTGAATACACACGCACCGGGAATAGCTGTTAAAGAACGAAATCTGCGTTTCAGGAAAAGCTCGTTTCATCGTTTCCGAGCAATTTCACGGCGGCAAATTCCCCGAACGCGACACACGTGCCCGCAGAACGCCGCTCAGTGACCGCCCTGCCGGAACGCCCCGCGGGACGGAACTCCGCGAGGGATTCAGGAACGCCAACAGTGACGCACAGCGCGGACCCACAGGGCTCCTCCGAGCGGCTCGAACTCCGCCGCCACGGGCAGAGCCGAGAGCAGAAACGCAGAACCGCCGCCCCGGGACGGGTACCGACGGGTACCGGCACGCACCGAACGCTCGCACGGACTCACCGCCCGCCGCAGGGAAGGGACCCGACCCGACCCGCCCCGCCGCCCTACCCGGTCCGCTCGGATCCGCGTCCACCGCCCGCGAAGCCGCTCCTCCCTCCGTCCCGCCGCGCTCCGCCTCCGCAAGTCCCGCACCGGGCGCCGAGCGGCCGAGGGCACGCGGCAGCCCCGCACGGACAGCGGGCAGGCGGAGCCGGGCCAAGTCTCACGGCAGGACACCGCGACGCCGGACCCGAAGCGAACCTCGTCACCCCGCCCTTCTTCCGCTGCCGGGCGTGGCCGGACCCCTCCTCTCCGTTCCGCCGGGCTCGCACACCGCCCCCGCCCCGCTCCAAGCCCCCGCCCCTCGCGCCCGGCACAGCAGCGTCCGCCGCGGCCGCAAGGGGGCGCCATCACAGCGCTCTGCTGCGGGGCGCTGCCGAGCTGATCGATGGCAGGAGGCCGCGGCGATCGCTGAGCTGATCGCTGGAGCCCGTGCGCTCTTCGAAAGGCGGGCAGCCGAGAGACCTTCCGGCGGGCCTTCGCGTCCGCCCTGGAGCCGCCGCACGGAGCCGGCAGCGCGCAGTGCTGTAAGCGCTGGAGGTTTGAGGGGTGCGGGGGGGCAGCGGGCGGCAGCTCCGACCTCGCGCGGCCCCGGAGCCCCGTGCGGGTGGGGCGTCCCGATCCGGGCCGTTCGTGGGCGCCGCGCTGTGCGGCGTTCGGCTGCCGCTTTGTTCGTCTCCTCGCTCAGGGAATGCCTTGAGACCGTGTTACTTCGGTCTGATGTTCTTCCCAACAGACGCTGGGGAACTCTCAGCTATAAAAGTTTTTCAGTGTAGTCATCACCGGTAGCAGTGCGTTTTGTGATGAACAAGAGCTGCGTGCTGTGCCTGTAGATCCATTCCGTCCCCACTGTTGCCATCACCTCTGCTGAAACACCCCAGCAGTGCCTCTGTGCCACGGCCACCGCTTGGGCGCCATCAGCGGGCACCAAGCGTCCATGAATGGCAGTGGGCGCCGGTTTTTTCTGCGTGGAGGAATTCAGTTCCACTTTTTTTTTTGCTTCATCCACCCTTCCATGTCGGATGCCGTTGTGTCAGAGTGCCCCGCTGCTGCTGTCTGTCACAGGGCAGCAACATGTAATGGGATGTTGGTGGGAAGGTTCAACCTCTGCTGCCATCCCACCGACAGCCACCTCTGCTGTTGTGGGCTGACATAACAGAATAGGAGGCATTACTTTTGGAGCAGGCCTCATGGGAAGGATTTTCTGGCCTAAGTGAGATGCACTCAAATTAGACAATGTCTTTGGATATGTGGCAGGAGGCAGCTGATGCAAAGCTATGCAAAGTGTTCCACAGATTAAAAGTGTTAAGGAAAATTAGTTGGGCTTCTTTTGCATCCTTCTCTTAGAACACTGCTCACCATCTGTGTATGGAGAACAAGCTGGGGGATCTGCTTTTTAACCCTGGTACTTGGGGAGTTCAGTTGAAATGCTGCGTGTGCTCATAATGTACACTGCTCATCTGCACCTCCATTAATTGCAGTTGATGTTTTGCAGCACTTGAGGCCTGGATCACAATGGCAGCTCAGATGTCTGATGCTCATCGACGGTTCTTGCAAGTCCTGATGTCACATGGGATCATGGAGGGAGCAGAGGCTAGGAAATTACACAGGCACTGCTGTGAAATCAGTAAAGGTGGGGCTTTCTTCTGGAAAGAAATGTGAGGAGATGGAGGAACTCTTTTTTCATTGTGCAACTTGTAAATAATTACATTTCTGAAAGGTGTATGCCAGCTAAAAAAACTTCAAAACAATCCAAAAAACGTCAGTGATGTGAGTTTTCTCTTTTTCCTAGGAGTTAACAGAGCAAAACAAAACTTAATGACAGCACTTTTATTTTAGCAAAAATGTTTTTCTCAAGTTATGTATTTAAAAAAAATTGACATTGGATACTCAGTTAATGGAGACCACAGTACTCTGTGTAAAATAAGCAAGCTTAGAAGCTGGTTTTCAATAGCAACATATTTGAATAAATGGTTTCTGATCCAGTCAGTTGGTGCAGCTTCCTGAACAAGAATTGTTTTGTAGGTGGAAGCTGTGCATTCTTGCAAATAGTAAGGGGCATTCTGAGTCTGAGATTGTAAATTTTGAACAGATAATTTTTGGAGCAGCCATTCATCTTTCATGTTACAAAAGAGCATTAATCTGTTATCTTTTGCCTTACCCTTTTCTAGAGCTGTCATTAATTCTCACTGATCTTGATTAATGCAGTGTTTCTTGCTGGGAAGTGCAAGGCAAGACAATTTGTCACAATTTTATGTATTTCAATATGAATCTATTACTGCTGCTTAATTGTCCACTTATGGAGTATTATTTTAAATAAGACTAATGAGCTTTTGGGGCAGGAATATCCTGAGTGATGTTTTTGCATTATAACATACTATATAGTACAGTGGGGTTTTGAGCTTGAGGCCTTTGTCTGATGCAGTTACACTGGTAATTAACTTTTATAATTGCAAACAGTATAACTGGTAGCAGTTTTGAGATGTCAGTCTTTCTGCAGTTATGAGCTGTTACTTAATGCTCAAAGTCAACAGGAATTTTGCCACTGTCATTTTGTTTTGGATGGAAACTTTGGAGAATGTGTGCTATTGCTGTGTAAGCATAAGCCACAGCACGTGCTTCTGCCAAGTTTGTCTGAACTATGTTTGATAAAACAACTCATACTATTTCACTTGCTTATGAAGTAGAACACAAGAAATTAACAGCATAACTACAAAGCTACAATCTTATCAAAGAAACAAGGAATTTGTTGTTGATAAGCTAAAGAAATTAATTACAATGTGTAATTGCACTTAATGACCTGTTTGAATTCTGCCTCAGAAACTCACCTAGTTTAAGCAGATTAAACATAAAAACGTGTTGTTTTTTTTCCTTCCCTCTGTGTTTTTTCTTATTTTCAGTCTACTGTGCACAAGATAAACTGGATGATTTCGTCAGTACCATCAACAACCAGCTACAGCCTTTGTTCATGCAGATCCGGAAAGGAATGTCTGAAGTTGATGGGAGAACACATTATGCTTTGGTAAGTATGAGGTGCTGCCATCTCGTGGTTTTAGCTTCTCATAACGAGTACATGCATGGATACACCGCAGAGATTCTGCCACGTCTGATGTGTAACATTAGCCATTCAATTCAGTGTTAATAAAAGCACAATAAAAGGTGAGTAAACTGGGCAAAGAACTGGAGTTAAGTGTTATCTTTGGATGTTAGTAAAGTTGGTTTTTCTAGGATCCTTCCTTACAGTGTAATACAACTGCTACATGAGAACACAGAACAAAGGGCCACATCTGCCAGCATGAGATGTGCCCCTAGCATGTCTCGATTTTTTGTGGGGCTCTTCCACTGTCATGCTGACAACTGCTGTGGAAACTACTTGTAGAGCAGGGAAGTGGGAAGATAAACTGCCAAAAGTGTAGGTGTGTGGGGAGGGAACATGGCAGCAAAGCCCATAACAGCATCTCATTTATTTAGTGGAATAGCCTCTTTCATGGCACTGAAAGAAATGATATTTTGTTTAATTTTAAGATGATGTATTCCTTACCCTGGAGGATCTTTTACTTTTTTTTTTGATAGGTGAATATGGCAGAAACTGAAATTACTAAAATGGCATCCGACTATGCAGAAAATGAACTAGAATTGTTCAGAAAAACAGTAAGTATGACTGATATTAGTTAGTAAATAACATCATTTGTGAAGGTACTCTCCTAAAATGAATGGAAATCTGAGATGTGTTTCAAGAATTAGTTGCCATCTTGCATAACTTAATTGAATTTTATCCTAAATGAAATGGGGCAGGGAGGGAAATGGGAATTACACAAGTAATGGTTCTCCTCTTGAAGGGAATTAGCTTTTTTAAATTTTGCATTCTAATTTTTTTTTTTTTTTTAATAAACTAGAAAGAGAGGTCATTTACTGTTCTGGGACAGCTGCTGAAGTGTCATCTAAACTGATACTATTCAGAATCCACTCTGCCATTATTGATGTAGCACCTATACAGCCATGTCTGCGCTGCAGAGATGGTGTTGTCATGGCACATATTACTACTAGCACATCAACTTTGCTTTCTGCTCTGTGATAACGTGCAGCAGGAATGTTCCCAATGAGAGACTCTCTGAAAATTGGCAATGTATGCTTGTGTTCACATGCTGATAAGGCTGTATATTACTATAAGGTGCATCTATCTAATTGCACAGTCTTTTTATAACTGAAAATATTTCTTTCTATAGATGGACCTAATCATTTTATCAGAAAATGGCTTTGCCTCTTCTACGGATATTTTAAACTGTGCTGACCAACTAAAGTCAAAGAAAATGAAGAAAAAGGAAGCAGAACAAGTGCTGAAAATTTTTGTGGATGATAAGTGGCTCTCTGAGGTAACTGCTTTATCTTTGCAAGTGTTTGTGCTTTAATAGGTCCAGATGTTATTTTCTTATGGATGTGGTGGCAGAAGCTGGAGATGTTCATAAATGGGTGAGGGCAAAAATGGTTTTATGGGGGCTGTGGTTATTGTTCCAGTCAGTGATTCTGGAGCTGGTACATTTGCAAGCAAAAATTCCTTGGGTAGATGCATGCATGACAACGTGGTTTCTGTTTCTTCTATCTAAGCTAATGTAAGTATCTCTGTATTACAACACAAAAGGAATTCTTGGTACAAAACAGCATGGCACATTTAAACTTGCAACAAAAGCTGGAGAAGGCTATTCAAGGGTGATCTGTGCTGTCAGTTACATTTACTGCCTCAAAAGCAGTAAAAAATAAAGTGTTAAAAACTCCTGAACTGGAAACACACAGGCTACTCTGCATGTTTTGCAGAAAATGGAGAAACTGAGATCAGTTTTTACCACATGGAATACTACAGTTGTTTACCAAGACAATTGAGACCCAATTCTCTTTTCTTCTGGCTGTCATCACATCATAGATTTCCATCCTGCTGCCACCCATTTCCTTATATTAGAGAGATTTAGCAGAGATTTTCAAAGATACCTCAAGCAATAGCTGCTCAGATTTTGCAGAAAACCAGAAGTTCCACTGATGTGCAAATGAAAGGTCTGCTAACGATATGCCTCTAAGGAGAGCATACTTGCTCATCTGTACCTTTCAAGGACTGTATTTGTTAAAAGTGTGACTATTCTTATAATCCTCTTAGTAAACGTGCTCTGCCTCTTCAAAAGTATTTTGGCTTTATGTTTTATCAGTGTAAGAATGTTTGTTTCATGATAGCAGAAAAAAAAACCCTTTAATGTCAAGTACTTGCTAGTACAAGGTGATGAGAAAGGTCCAAAATGAAGAAGGGATGAACTAAGGGATATTGCTAATCTCAGTTGTTGTTTCCATAGAGAGATGGGGAATATACTCTGCATACTCGCTGCATAATCGAGATGGAACAATACATTCTCAGAACCTACCCAGATATAGCAAAGAAGTGTAATATCTGTCACAGCCTTGCCATCCAGGTAATGCATCTGATTACCTCAGTATCTGCAAATGAGTTTCTGTCACCGTGGAAGTTTGTGACACTTTCACTTGAGTATTAGGCAGGCAGTGAAAATTCCAGTGTTGTAATCTGGTAATATTACTCACCTTTATAATATAACGTAGATAAGTGTAATCTTCCATATGACACACATTTGTCTTTGGCTGTGGGATTTTGGTTCAGGAATTGACCACCATAGACTTAAGAACAAATGTGTATTTATACATAGTTTACTAAAGCACTGTATGTTGATAGCTGGCAAGTTTCCAATTTAGTCTTGCATAAGAAATTACAACCTGAACTCCTGTTCTAGAACTGTTACATTCTCTTGCTCCTTGCCCTTGAATCTTCTCTTCCTCTTACCAGCTAACTTCCTTTCCTAACATTACATCCTAATTGCTCTCCTTTACTGCATCCAAATAGCTCAGCATTTGTCTTTCAAGCTAAATTATGTCCATGTGGGAAAATGGCATTTCCTAGCTTCCAGGAGAATAATTCCTATTATGTTTTACCAGCCTTGATTTCTGAGTGTCCTTCAACTGTATCTTTTGAACTACTGTTGGGTACAAACTATTGTTTATTTGTAGCCTTTTGTGACAGAAGGGCAGATTAGAAAGCTTTTCTAGTAACATTTCTGATTTCAGAGCCAAGCATGTGAAACATGTGGAACTGGAATACATTTACCTTGCATTGGAAAGTACTTCAAAACTCAGTCTAAACCACGATGTCCTCAGTGTAACGATTTCTGGCCTTATGAGATCCCAGGTACCAAGTAACATCTTTTTTAAAAGTGTAACATTTAAGAATGGACTGTGATATTCAATGGCACTGCCTGAAATTACTTATAATTGTAGCTGAATACTGGATATTTCTGACTTCAGTTGTGTGTTTCTAAGTGAACCATTCTCAGGCAACACTGAGCCTTGAAACTACACAGGTTGTCTTGTGGCCATTAGCAGATCCTGTGCATACTGTTTATAACAGCATTAACATTTTGGGGGATGAGCTGGAACACTAAAACTTCTGGAAATACTGAGTTTCAAAGAAGAGTGCAAACTCGTTTAAGAATTCCTCAATTTAACCAGAGAAATTGGACATTCTAAACAGGAACATGCAAAGAATTGTAAAAATCTGGAATTCATACCGTATAATCTTTTCTTTTTTGTGTGTCATTAACTTTGCTTTCTTCCTTTCTCTGTAGACAGGAGTCGGATAGATTCCCAGTCATCAAAAAGAGCGAGCAGAAAAGAGCTTCAGTCTTTGTAGCTTCAGCTGAAGTTAGCAAAACTTGCTTTTAGTGATTTTTATTTTCCCATTCTCTGGCAGAATAGCCAGACTGCACTGTATTCATCAGTAACAGTACACTGTTAAACGTATTTATTTTTTCTAGAGTTTTAAGAAAATCACAATAAAACTGTCATTGACCTTCCTGTTTTTCTACACAGTTATGCCCAGACAGCTTCCTAGGAGGTGGGCTTATATATGCTGTTCTCTATATTTCGGGCTGGGAATCTCAGTGCACGTTTGTGAACAAAAGACAAATGTTTTTGCTCAGTCCTGAAAGCTGATTTATGCAAATGAATTATTATACAAAGCCTTTCTCAGCCATTGTACTCCATATTTGTATGGTTTCACTTGCAAAACTGAGAATGAAACCTGTTATTAGAACCACAGGACTTGTGAATATTCCTCAATCAGCTCACCTATATAACTTTTTACCTGGTTTTCAAGTAGCTGATCACACAGCACTTCAAGGTCTCTGCTGAAATGGTCAGCTGAATCCCTGATCAAGGCCTGGCTAGAGTCCAAGCTTCCAGCTTGTACCATTGCTTGTTTTTTATCTCTTCCTTTGGCAGAAGAGTTCACGTCATATGGCGAGGTCACAGGCAGATATGTTCAAGAAAAGATGGAATTTTTCCACAATCAAAACCAGTTACAATTTCAGCTTAATCTATGAAGCGTTAAAAAAAAATAATCTAAAGATGACTTTTTTCCCCACTGGTTTTTAGAACTAGTACTTCACACTGTTGTTTTCTGTAAAGATGTTTTATCCTTTTAAAAGTGACTTGAAAATGAAACAAGGACTATATGTTGCTAGATACTAGTGTGGAGTGGCATTATATCTTTTCCTTGGCAGACAGCAGAGTCTGCAGTTCAGCTGACTCTTGATCAAAAGATAATCAAGCTTTAGATTATTTAATTGCAGTAAACTACTGATCAACTTAGTTTCATAGTCCTTAAACTCAACTTTTTCCATACAGGAGACTGTTTTTTTTGTTGTTTTTTTTTTCCCTACAGATTAATAAACCTTACAGTGACCCAACAGGTGCTCTTTACAAGGTTATATTAGAAACATCCACAAAAATAAAGTGGTAGCATTTAGCCACATTCTTTTATCAAACTGAAACAAGGAATTTTTATTTATAGGGAAAAAAACAGTCTCATGTTTAAACAGAATTCACTTCTGAAGCATACCAGATGCTACTTTTCCTTGATCTTTAATTGCTATTACAATACTAATAAACATTATTCATACTTCAGTGTTATGACCACCAGAAACTGACAGAGAAGCTAATATCAAGAGATCGTATATAGTGCCAGTATTTAACTGGGATAAACAGAACCTGTCCAGGCATCAGAATACAGGACTGAAATGCAGCCTTTCTAAAGTTGGGAAATTTTGTTAAGTCAGGATCTTCCACATCAACCTATTTAAAAACAAAAGCAAACAGTGTTTACTTAAATACAATTAGATGAACTAACATTACTGACATTAACATTTCAGATGATTATTTACCTGACTGGTGTTGTGAAGAAGTTGGCTTTCATGTGGGTACAGATTTTCTGAATCTTGTGGTGAATAAAGACGGATATATTTTCTTCCAAATACCTGTATATATTACAATAAATACTTTTAATCTATATTCCAATAACCTCTATGTTATTGAAAAATGACAAGTTCAGTTAACTAGCAACCAGTCTAATATTCCATACTGCAGGCCACAGTTAGAATTTTAGTAGTAAGATAGACCTGCTTACTTACAGGTGCCTGCAGTACTGCAGGTGGGGCCTCATGAGGGCAGAGCAGAAGGGGACAATCACCTCCCTTGTCTTGCTGGTCACCCCTTTTCTGATGCAGCCCAGCTTACAGTTGACCTTCCAGGCTGCAAGTGCACACTGCTGGCTCATGTTGAGCTCTGCATCCACCTGGATGCATATTTGAGGTGCAGGTAGTCCATCTCCCCTGCTAAAGCACATTCCCTAGAATACATTGCACAGGAAAATGTCCAGGTTCTGGGTTTGGGCAGTTTGTTCCAGGGCTCTGTCACCCTCTCTGTACTGAAGATTTCTGTTGTGTTCATCCAGAACTTCCTGTGTCCTGGTTTGCCTGTTGTGGGGCACCACCAAAATGAACCTGGCTCCATCCTCCTGACACCCTTTAGATATTTCTAAGTGTTGATAAGATTCCCTCCCAGCCTTCTCCAGGCTGAAGCGTCCAAGGTCATATTCTCCATCCCTCAGTTATATGTCAATTTGCCTACCATCCTTGTCTGTCATACACATTATAAGCATTTTTTTCTAGCTACAGCATTAAAAGCTTGTATAGAATAAGTAGAGTACAGACCTGGGCTAAAAAATTTTGCTGGGGATCTTGGTGAAGAGGTGAGATAGTGCCTGCTGGCCCAAACCATGCGTTAATGGTGATGTCATCTTCTTCCCCTTCCCCCAGGCAGCAGTAGTCGGGAATACTGATATCCTCTTTCAATTCTGGGATCTAGTCCATAAAGAAATGAATGTTAGAAAGGGTACCTACTGACTTGCAAAAAGTGTAGTTTGTAGAAAAGAGTAACAGGGCCTGACACAAAAAACAAATAGCCATGTCCAGCATTGGCAGCTGAAAAGTAGCTGGGTTGCTGGGAATCTGCAGGAAATGTCCTCAGATTTTCTGTTCTAGCAGATTCAGTTGGAAGGAGGTGGGAGAAAGAAAGGAAAGGGGTTTCTCCTAATTCAGAGACTCTTTGCTCTAGAAGAAACCAGGGAAACTCGGGGAATAAGAAAACTACAACAATGTGTAGTTTGCTGTTCAAGGAGAAGGTAGCAGTTATCTTCTATACGCTCAGCTTGCTTCTTTATGTGATTCTTTTTCATATTTCCTTCCAACCATAGAATCATTAAGGTTGTAAAAGATCACTAATCTCCCCTTGTGCAACTGTCAACCCATCAGCCCACTAAGCTATGTCCCTAAAACCTGATTTCCTCTGGTTACCTGGAATGACACTGCAGAACATGGAGAACATACCAACATTGAAGTTTGTTTCCTGTTCAAACCTCTTCCCTGACTTATGTATCATTTAGAGAAATGCTGCTTTCCAGGTGGTATCCCTGTAAGCAAATGCTACATTGTACCAAAACAGCCCTAAAATTGAACATCTTCACCCCCCAAAGGCTTTGTTTCCCACTCCTTTCAGCCAAGCAGAAAAAAGAAACCTCCATACACCCTTCCATCAAGTAGAAATGACATTCTCAGAGGTTTGTCATACAAAGGGAGCACTTGACTACAGAAAGAAATATTCATGCAGTTTTACCTGATCAAAAAGCTGGTGCTGGGCAAGGTATCCTACACTGTTCTGAGATCAAAACATAGGGAGAAAAAAAAAGCATAGTGACATATAGGGTAAGACTTGGTCATTTACATACAGTTAGGTAGAATTTACTTGTACGTAAGATCCACTTACAGTCTACTGTTTCAGAGTACTTGAACTGCTTCAATGGTAGACTAGTATAAGGAGTCTTCTGAAAAATATTTATTTCTATACTGAAATTCTAAAAGTGTAGATAGACGCCCACAATTAACAAATCATTTAACTAAAGATACTGGTAGAAACAGAGCAATAATGATACAGAGTTGCACCAGTTCTTCAGCTGTCAGCTCTATGACAATACTCTGCAGTGCTGCAGCTAGGCCCTGCTGGTACACAGACTTGTTCACCTCTGCTCCCCACAATCACCTTGACATCCCATTCCAGGCTACACCATAGACAAATCTGCAATGGCACACGGTCCTGCTCAAAGACTTAAGCAGAAATAAAGTTCCAGATCCTCAGCTGTGAAAGTAAACAGTCATTCAACAGCCAATCACCTTTTTAATTTTTTGCTGGTACACGTGAATTTGGGTCCTGCCAGTAGATCTCACTGAGCAGTTTAATAACTGTGAGGAACAGTGCTACTGGCTGAGGAGGGAAATTAATTCCCTTATCTTTGAACTTCACCATTCAGGCTTTTGATGCAGAAATTCCTCTATTCCTCAAATGTCAGCTGTTGTACATTTGATTGTACATAAAAATACGATCTAGCTGTGGCTACATTCTGTACCAGTAGATGCTGCTGTTTTTGGAAATAAAATAAAAAAAAAAGTAACAGACCTCATTCACAATATACTGGCTGATGAATTCATTGATGGTCATGAGCTTCTGAGACCATTCCTCATCTGTGTACCGGGAACCCAGTTCTACAGGGACAGTGCGGCACCCAGCGACCTGAGAAACATAGTCCACGCTGAAACAAAAGAAGTTCCATCACACTTCCTGTTAATTCTCTTAGTAATTTTGAATGAGAGCAGGACAATCAACCAAAACCAATCTCTGAGAGTAGTAAAATTCTACTAAAGTGAGTTTCTTTCCTCTAAAACCAACCAAGTCTGCAGAAATTGACCCAACAAGCAAGAAAACAAGTGGTCAGTTTTCTATGCACATTATGCTACATCTGTCTTGCTTTAAAACCTCGTTTATCTCCATTAACTATCATTTCCTTACCAGTGAAGATGATTTAAGCTGTTAGCCTTTCTTGACTAGTGACAGCCAAAATTTTTTCTGCTACCAAGTTTGCTAAATAATGTACTGTAACAACTTTTTTTTTTTTTTTTTTTTTTTTTTACCATTAATGCTATGTCAGCTGTCAGTGCCAAATTTTAGGTGCCAATAACATCCACCCTGGCAAAGGTCAGAAGAGTTCTGCTGAAGAGTAATCCATATCCCTTCATTTGCTGTGACTAGTAGCTATGTTAACAAGTTCTTCATTGTAAGTGTCTGAAGAATGGAGTGCCTTGGCTGCAAGAAAAGACTAAAACATCTCTGAAATAGTAAGGCTATATAATGCACGTATGAATATATAACTAAAGTTATATTTTATTATATATTTCCTATGTACCATCATATAACAATAATCTACTTTCAACTAACGTAGACTTTATCCTTGACTGTGGAATGCAAGAATGTAAGCAATTCCTCAAACTATACCTGAGTGTTTTGTACCCTTCGGAGAGGAAATATTTATCTCATAAATATTTCATTCTCAGGACTGGAAATGCTGGCACCATTGCCTACATCAAACCAGCATCACAATATTGTTATTGCTCCTGGAATGTGGTTGTCTGAAACTCAATGTTCAGAAATTGCTACTCGGCAAGGATCATGCTTGTGACTCAAAAAGCCAGTTATGCTTGCTCATGCTCGCTCCGAAACTGAAGAGCGAGTTCTGAGATGTAAAAATCACTGAGCAGCGAGAGTCTGATGGAGGCTGACCCACTCAAAACGTGAGTAAATCTGCTGGTACAGCTGGCAATTCATACTTTCCTCTGGCTTCCAGTAAAACAAAGCAAAGGGAGCATGCCAGCACTGCACCATCCCCTGCATGGACGGGCTGGATACAAGTCTGGATCTGACTGCCCTGGCACACGGCATCCCCTGCAGTATGAAGTTCTTAAGAGATTTGTGCCATCTGACTTCCAGCATCCACGAGGAAACGTTCACAGAGCCGAGGAAGTGGCTCTCAATGCGCATCGCTCCGGACGGCACCCATCTCTGGAGGTGGGCACCCATCATCTCTGGAGGTGGGCACCCATCATCTCTGGAGGTGGGCACCCCTCTATGGAGGTGTCTGCCGCACGGCGAACACCGCGATACCCGACGCAAAACCGATCCCCGTCCCCGCCAGGACGCGGAACAAAGCATTTCCTCTCACCTCCACTTCTTCATGCACGGCCAGTGGTCAATAACCCCCTCTAAGACGACGGGCTTCTGCGGGATCAGATAGCGCTCTCGGAAGCGCTCCAGCGAGGGGCAGCGCTCGCACGGCACCGCATCCTCGGGCCGCACAGCCGGCGCCGGGGGGGGCTGAGTCCGCGCCCTCTGCAACAGAGCCGCCGCGGAACCGCCGTCAGCCCCTCACGGCCACCGAGGAGCCCCGCGGGACGGGCGGCCCGAGCGGAACGCGGAGCAACGGGCGGCCCGGCGGTACCTTGGCGCTGCCCGGGGCCGCGCTGCGCCGCTCGGCGCGGGGCAGATGCGCCTGCAGGAGGCGGACGAGGCGGGCGAGGACGTCGTCCTGCACGGAGGCGCCCATCAGCAGCCCCATGTCGCACAGCCGGACGGCGGGCGCCAACGGGCGGCGGGCGGCGACTTCGGCCAGCGCGCCGAAGAGGCAGCCGTAGGCGTAGACCTGCCGCCAGGCCTTGCCGACGTCCCGCCACGGCCCCGCGTTCAGCTTCTCCCACGCGTAGTCGCGGACGACGTCGCCCAGCCGCCGCAGCGCCGCCTCGCACGGCGGAGCCGCCCCGTAAAGCAGCGCGCGGGCGCGGAGCAGCAGCGGCGGGACGCAGTCGTCCACCTCTCCGCTCAGCGCCAGGCTCAGCTCCTCCTCGGAGTCGGGCAGCAGCGCCCGCACCTCGTCCCACAGCCCCGCAGCGCCCGCCATGGCTCCGCGGCGCTGCCGGGCATGCGCGGGGCGGGGCAGCGCGGGGCGCCTGCGGGCTTTGCGGGTTGAGGCGTGCTGTGAGCGGGTCTGCCTCCAGAGGAGGAACGGGGCGTTACAGCCGTGGGCTTTGCCGGCTTTCCTGCAGCCATTGAGAGTAGGCTGCAGTTGGAATGGAGTGCTTTTAGGGAGTATTTTCGTAAAGAAGATGATGTTCCAAGGTGAAACTGTGGAATTTGCATTGAAACGTATGGCATTTTATGGCTGTCTCTTAAGTGGTGTTAATTCTGTGCACGTGTCATTAAGGTCACAGCATAGCTTGCTGTGAGGCTGTATGACTGACACATCCAACTTTTGGCTTGCCTGGGCCTCACTGAGTGCAGAGGATTTGTCACAGGCCGTGTGTGCAGAGGTAGTAGTGCCTCCTATCTACCTCCATGGAAATGACAACAAACAGAGCACAATGACACTGATAGAGCAGGTTCTCAGCTACAAAACAGTTTTTCAACACAGTCACCACCACCAGCTGTGCATTTTTTGCCAGCGATGAAGAAGAGCTGCATGCTGTGCTTGTAAATCCATACCAGCAGAGGCGCCCCACCGCTGCCATCACCTCTGCTGAGGAGGGTGCAAGGGTGGAATTAATCTTTAAAAAGTATGGATGGAGGTCATATATTAAAATAAACATTATGTTTGCATTTTATATTCATGTCTCAGGCCTAGAATTTCTGTTACAAAAGCTAATAGATTTTCATCTGGAATTTAAAGTTGATATTATTCGTTTGTGCACTAGTTAGTCCATTAGCCCATCAGTTTGTGTGTTTTAAGGTAAATAGATTATTTTTGCTTCCAGAACTGTTGGCTGGTACCTCCCATGAGAATTACTTTCGTTTAACGCCTTCTGCACAGCAGCAAACAAACAAATAAATAAAGAGAGCAAAGAAAATGAGAGCGTAATGTGCCCTGTGGTCCTCTGGTGAGAGCGTAAACTGATGACTGCCATGACAGCTGACTTTGATTTTCCATTACAGACTATGAATGGTTGTCTGTCCATCTGAAGAACAAGGGGATAAGCACATAAGTCTTTTAAGATTTTGAAAGTCTTCCCAGCTGTCTCTGCCTGCTCACGTGGACAGGAGATGATTAATATTGATTAATAATACATCCAGAATTAATCATTACAAGAGAATTGTTTTGCTCAGATAAGCAAACTCTTCCTACTCGAGAGTGACAGAGCCATGCGTTCTGATTGTATCTTTGAGTCGAGCGTCGCTGTAAAGCAAAAGTGTAATGATGGATATGTCTTTATCAACCTGTTCCCTGCACTGTGTTTTTATCACTGCCATCTGCTCTGCTGAGAGTGGCAGCTGCCAGGTCTCACAAATAGCACTGCCATGTACTTTCATGTAGAACAACATATTGTCGTAATTTCTCTGATATTATGAGATGGAATAACTTTCCATGAGTTAAGGTGACATTTTGCTTGGCTCTTTGGAATGCGTATTACTGCAGTGTGTGTAGGACACACAGTGTTCTTTCTGGAGCAGGCTATAAAAGCACACCCAGTTCTACTTTCAGAAATCATTGGAAAATGCTTCTTTTTTCCAGAAATGTTATGAAACACCCATCTGGGACATAGCTGCCGGTGCTAAGATGCAAATGAGACATATTCACTATTAGTATAGCTTACTGTATGTAGCCTTAGTTACCTTTGCTGAATGGAACTTTAGTAAGTCACACTGTTTTAAAAATACAGTTATTTCCCTCTTTGCTTATATTGGTTTTCTTTTCCTTTATATTTGCAAACACATTCCAACAGCTTCTTCAACATTAAAAGGAACAAAAAAATCTTTATGGCAGTAAGTACTCCTTCTGTTGTTACAGCTGAACCCGAGGTGGGGATTTAATTTTATTTCATGAGGTGTCCAGTGCCAGCTGCTCCTCTGGGCTCTTCAGAGATTGGAAAGAGATGTCTTCAGCACGGGCTTTTTCATAGCCTGATAGGTATATCATATCCTGACATAGGATAGTTATGGTGGACAGGCAAGTGGAATAAATTATTCTCTGTTGGTGTCTGTTTCTCTCCTCTATAGAAGGAAGCTAAAAGACTAACTCAGACGACCTTCTTGCTTTTCAGGCAGACAAATGTAGGTGAGTTGAATCACATACTGAATATATGCCAAGGCATCCTCTTGTTCTGTGCATCTGTTTGTGCATTAAGAGTCGCAAAATATTTGGTATAGTCCATCTGCACAGTGATGTGTCTGCTATCTTTTCTTAAAAGTAAAGGGATAAATCCTCTTTTACATACTTAACTCTTTTTTTTTTTGGACAAAGATGACCAGAAAACCAGACCAGAGAAAAGCCTCATGGCATTTAAGTGAGGCTGTATACTCTAGAAATACTGGAAAGGTTGTATTTTGCTCCAGTAGAGCATTCCAAGAGCTGGTAAAGGCTCGTGGCATCATCCTGATCTTGAGCTTATATCGGACCACATTTTTATCCCAAGGGTAAGAAGAATATATAAGTAAACACTTATTCCTTCCTCACAAGATTTACTGCACCCATTGGAAACTTCTGTTTGATTTATCCCTCAGACTGGGGCTATAAATGCTGCATGAATTTGGTTTTGTGCTTGTTTTAAGTATATTTAGAAGTGTACACAGTTATTTGTGCTCATGCATCACATTCTTATTAATGAGCACAGTATAATTATCAGTCGTATTGACTTTTGTTTCTGTGGATGTTTTAAAAAGATATTTAAAAGGCTTTGCTGGAGTTTGCATCTGCTTCAGAAATTAAATTTAGTCTGTGATTTTATTACCCTTTTTATTTAATTTATCTTAACTGTTGCTTTCAAGCTGTGAGCCAGCTGTTGACTTTGAAAAAAAAAACATTGTTCAATTTGAAAGGAACATTTTAAAGCTTAATGTAATGGCTGTAAGTAATCACTACAGCAATTATATTCTATGGTGTTGTGCGTCACTATAATAATACTGGAGGTTGTGAGAAAATGCAGGAGAGAAACACATCAACTCAGACTTTTCAGTGTTGCCTGTGATGCCTGCTGCCTCTCTGCTTTGTATATGGTTTGGTACCACTTGGCTTGAATCATAGCAGAAAAACTGAAGCTCCACTCTGTCGTGGTGCTGTGTGCCCAGCAGGAAACAGGAGGCTTTTTCTTAGCCTTGTTTTCTGTCATTCTTTTCCAACTGGAAGTATTTTTTTTTCTTTCTCCATACTGGCAGACTGTAGATTGATGCTTGCTGCAGTGGCAGGAATGCCTGCTGCTCTGCTGCCTCCTCCTGACTGGATCCAAGATGTTGTATGTGACACTGAGAGGAATTTGGGTTTTGTCTCTTCTGGAACAATGCTGTACCCACCTTGCGTGGTGCGAGTGGTAGCAGAGCTCCTTGTCAAGCATACAGAAGGTCTGACCAGAGCTGGAGTACTTGGCATCTTGCAAAGTCAGGTCACACTCCTATTTGCTCTGAAAATGAGCAGCTACTTGCCAAGGTGAAGGGAAATAATAGAAATAATATTATAATTTTATAATATCCATAATATATATTATTGTGTTTTCAGCCATGCAATGGAAAGAGAGATCCTCCATTTGTGAGCTCTTTGGTTCAAGCCAGCTGGGCCTGTTGGGAAACTTTCTGGTCCACTGCGGAAAAGATAACAGAAGCAGCATGCAGTCAGACCCCTTTGTGTTGTAACAAACCATGAAAATGCTGTGCAGATTCCTCTGCCCTGGAAATTTCTCCCCGTGGTGATTTAAAAGGAAATGTAATATGCATCATTGTTGGAGTGGGCTGCATTTCTCAGTGAGTGACCTCACTTTGTTTTCCACACAGCTTGTGTTTGGAAACTGCAGGCTGTGGTGATGCTCTAAAAAGGTGGTCTCCCAGATTGCACAACGGTGCAGTGCCTTGCCCTTCCTCTGCTTTTGGCATTGTGTTTTACACACAGATTCAAATCACCTGCTGGGCTAAACCATCAGTTCCAGTTAACAGCTTTGTGAAGTAGTAGTGCAGCAGGGGAAGACCCAGTAGGAAGGCTTTGGCTGAGCAATGCACTAAACCTTGCTGAATTCACTTTGTAGCGAGATCCTTAGGGAACAGGATCTTTTGACAGCAAGATCTGAGTCAATGCAACAACACTAACAAGAAGGGCAAGTGTTCAGGGAGCTGCAGGCTTGGAACCTGGGACAAAATGGGAGACCAGGCACGCTACTGAGGCATGATCACTGATGATAACAGTGCTTGGTTGCTGAGGAAGGATAGATGACACATTTGGCAGTTAGTTTTGTGATGGTACTTCCAATGGATGGTAGTCATGGTGATGGGATTGGGATGATCCTCCAAGAGCTTGTCCTGATATGGTATTGGCAGAACGACCTGTGCTTTGCCTTCGAAAAAAGCAAGATTACCACAAATGTAAGCATACTCAAGTATATCTGCATGTGTGTAGTACACATCTGCATGACATCAGCAGCAAAATGAACTGTGAAGTAGTTTCCCATTCCTCTGTCTATGTGTGGCACACAGGAAAATGAAAGCACTGATAGAGACCCAAGCACTCTTTAGAGATCAGGTGTTTCCTTTCCCAGTAAGTGATGACCATGATTTGGGCATGACTGAGGTGATGACCATGGATTTGGCTCAAAGAGATAGGGACAGAATTCTGATTGTTGTGACAAGGCCAATATGCCTCATGATTTACATCGTATTTAATATTAAAACATATTTATATATTAATTATTATAATTAATTAGTAATTATATATATATACATATATATACTATATTATACTATATTATATATTATAAATGTACAAACTAAACATTCAATGAAGTTCACTGCTAGGAGCTTCACACAACAGCATGCCTTGGAAAGTTAAAAGCATATCCAGCATCCCAAGGTATTTTTTAATGTAGCAGAATGAAATTCTTTGGGTGCAGCAAATGAAGCCCATAAAGTGTAATGCGCTGTGAAATCACAAAGCTCCACTTTCAACAGATGGAAAAAAACAACTTTAATACAAAAGCAAAAATTGATAGACTCCGTCATATTCCAAATATCAAATTACACTTTAACAGTGGCCATTACTGTCTGCAGAGTGTATTTCAGTTGTTACATGCACTTGCTGCTTTGTCACTGTACAGAATTTAAGGTGATGAATACTATATTCTTCTGTCTTCTTCACTCTAAGAAGTCAGACAAAGTCGGTGACAAATGGCTCCCAGGTTACACATGCTGCTTCTGACTACTGTCTGCTGCACCTGTTCAGCTATTCTAAGCATGGAACCAAACCCCTTTAGCTTTAATGCTGCTTTTAGGAGTCCCTGTGCTGGGGGATGTTGGGAGCTGTGCAAGTGGACAGAGATGAGCTGCCTGTTGCCAGTGGCAGAGCTGCGGATTGGAATGCTACTGCCAGGAAGCTTCCCTGTGCCCTTAGAGAAAGGAACATTACCATGAACACAATAAGGAGCTCACCTTCTCCTCACTGTGCTGCATCTGACTTTTCTGATATGCAGGGAGGAGCAGAAGTACCTATTCCAGCTGTCTCAGTGTGGCTTCAGGCAGCATTTCTTGGGAACAATTTGCTGTATACCCAGGAGATGTAAATGCCAGTATATGGGAAAGGTCCCTGTTAATTAGTCATTGTAACCTCACTAGGGAAAACCTGGATACAGCATGGGTCTTGTTCTTTTTGGAATGCACAGCCAGAAGCATGTGATGCACCAAAGACATAAGACTTCTGCAGAGAAAGGTGACGTCTCATAAATTTCTTGGAGGTTTCTGAAGGAGGCAGCAAACCTAGGACAGAAAAATGGATTTATATATCCTGCTTGGATTTCCAGAAAAGAATTCAAGAAGGTCCCTGGTCAGAGACTTCTAAATAAAGCAAGCAACTGTGGGTATAAGAAGACAGGTTCCCAGATGGACAGGTAACTCAAAAAGCATGGGAGTAAATGGCCAGTTTTCACATCAGGGAGAGGTCACCAGCTGAATGCTGTGGGGATCCGTGCCTCAGCTGTTTGACATACTCAGGCGC